GTTGAAAATCAAATTGTAGAAAAATCCCACAGGTCAGAAATATGCATGAATTTGATGCCAAATATATTTCTAAATGAAACTTCTATTTCAAACCTTCACCATGCCAGATATATCTGAGAACTTATGCTGGTATACAGTAAATGCAACACATAAACATTTTGATGACATTACCATGAATTTTTTTTTCTAAAAGTATTTTATTTTAAAAATTTAATAAAAGTGTTTTAGATATATGCTTTAATATCCATTCTGTAGCTTTAAAAAAAGAAAAAATACAGCAATATGTAATTATAGATATGCTGCTTATTTGACACTGTATTCCATAAAATTGGACTTTATAATTATGTAACGATATTTTAAGTACAAAAGGAATTGCATTTTAAGAAAAAGCTGTTTTAATACAATACAAACTTTTCTATTATTTGAAAAACTACTGCTAGGCAGGATAATGAATATCCAAGAGCTACTGTTATTACCAATGCATAGAACCTCAGCAAGTTCAGTTGTATCACATTTGGTATTACTGGGCAGTATGACTGCAAGACTTCATTTGCTGAAATAGTGGCTTTTCACCTGAAATGTTCCTTAATATGGGAAGATAAATTCTGACTTTATTTTAATTCTAAGCTTTTCCAAATTGATTCAAATTTTCACTTCATTAAGATCTTTTACAAATTATTCATCAATATCTTTTAGGATAGTTGAAAACTTTTAACTTCCAAATCAGTTAAAAGGATGAGAAAACACAGCAACATTTTCAGAATTACACCCAGAAGCCCCAAATCTTTACTGAAAGAAAAAATATACTTGACAATATTAGGTTTGCTATGTTGTGTTTATGATTCTAAGTACTGGCATTAAAACTTGTGTTATAGCAGCATATTATAGAAGCTTCAGAGGAATTGCACGGAAATAAAAACAATACAGAAAGGGTACAAGCCAAATTGTTCATTTCATTGTTTCACAGAGTTACTCTTTAATAATTCCTAGATTTACAATTAAGTGGGCAACAGAATAGACTTTCCAACATAAGAAGCAAACTTTTTCAAACAATTATGTAATATTTGGATCAAGAGTGTGCACAATATTGGCCAATAGCCATAGTGATTTTTGAAAGTTTGTAAATATCTTGAATTTTCAATATTTCAGTATAACTATGACATAAAACATGATCAGCTCTCTGAACAAGTCCTACAACTATATACTGTAAAGGGAACATAATTGAACAAATGTGTGAAAAACATTATCCTTGTTCATTTGAGGAAAATGATCCCAAACTATGTATTTATGTGTGATAAAAATGCGTGAACCTTTGCTTTCAGTAACTGGTGTGCCATCACCCCACTCATCCTTTGAGGCAACAATAACTGTAACATTTCCAGTAATTGTTGGTTAAGTCCTGCACTTTAGCTTAGAATTTTAACCATTCATCCTTATAGGACAGCTTCAATTCGGGGATGCTGGTGAACTTCCTTATATGAACTACCCATTGCATGTCTTTCTACATTTCTGTTGCTTTTGGTCTGGACTTTGATCAAAACATTAACTTTCTTCTGCTTTAAGCATTCTTTGTTATACAATTGCATATTTTGGGTTGTTGTATTCCTGCGTGACCCATTTTCTCTTGAGCTCCAGATCACAGACGGATATAATTATTTTCCTGTATAATTACTGGTACAATTCTAATTCAGTCGATGGCAAGGTGTCCTAGTCCAGACAGCAAAGCAGGCCCATGACATTGCCACCATGTTTCACAGATGAAATAAGGTTTTTATGCTGGAATTCCATCACACTTTTTATTCAAGGCAGAAAGTTCTTGTTCAGTTTTATCTATCCATACAACATTCTTCCAATAATCTTCTGGTTTATCCACACAGCCTTTTGCAAATTGTAGACAGGTAACAATGTTCTTTTGGAAAGATTTCTCCTAGCGACCATGCCATGGACACCATTATTCAGTATTCTCTTGGTGCTGGTCTCATTAATATTGACATTTATCTATGCAAAAGAGGCCATTAATCCCTTGGATGTTACCCTGAATTTCTATGAGACCACCAAGAATATTACAAACCCTGATCTTACTGTGATTCTGATTGGTTGACCATTTCTAGAGAGGGTAAAAGTGGTGTTGAATTGCCTCCATTTGTATACAATCTGCCCAACATTGGACTTGTGTAATCCAAACTCTCTAGAGATAAGGAACACTTTCCAGCCTAGTGAGCAACAACTTGTTTTTCAAAGGTCCACAGAAATCTCCTTTCAAGCCATAATACATTTCCACAGAGCTGTGTTGAAAAGATCAGACTTTAACAGTGAATATCCAGATTTGTCCTTTACATAAGGCATGACCTCCCACACTCACACCTTTAACATCCCATTGATGTTAAAACACCTGACTGTAACTCCCCCATCAAATAAACCAAGGGTGTTCAAACTTGGTAAGTTTAAGACTTGTGGACTTCAACTCCCAGAATTCCCGAGCTAACATGACTGGAGGAGGAATTCTGGGAGTTGAAGTCCACAAGTCTTAAAGCTGTCAAGTTTGAAGACCCCTGAAATAAACTGATAATTGTAGAGAGGTTCACACACTTTTGCTGTCCTATAATTTATGTAGCTTGGGATTACTTTGCTCAATAAATAAATAGTGGTTTTGATTCATTTGTTAATTTATTTAATTTATGTGGAGAACAGATCATATTTTAGGTCACATTTATGCAGAAATATTGGAAATCCAAGAGTTTACAAACTTTGAAGCATCATTGTGTATAAGACTCCATGTAAGTTCCACCACCAATTCAATTGTAGTTTGTTTGTATTTCGTATTTCTAAATAGTCCATCTCCCTCAAAGTAGGGCTCTAGATGCCTCCCATTCACCAAAAAGGCATTGTTGAACACTAATATCCAAAGTGGGACAGAAGTATGGAAGAAACATTGAAAAACAAAACTTTTGACAAACCTATGTTCATATAGAAATCAAGGGCAATATGTTTGGACCTGAACCTGTATAGCAGACTGTATAGCAGAATTCAAATTACTCTAGTCGGAGTTTGGAATTTAGATTCAAAATAAAGAAGCAAAACCAGAATAACAGATGCAGAAAGCACTTAGCAAGATTGATAACTAAGACAAAAAGCCTTTATTTTGTTTATAAGAACAATCTGAAATATTAGAGAACTGATACAAATGGCCAGTCATTGTACCTATTGGCCCAGATTAGGTCTCCTTGTTCCGTGTAGTATACTGGTAAACAAATAGCATAAGAATTTTGAATTTTCTCTTGATTTTTCCCCAAAATTGTAAGGATTGCTTTCTGGAACATCAGTACTCTGGTCTTTTATTTTATTATGAGTTATAATTATTCAAATAAATATTTCAGAAAAAAAATAAAACCAAGTGTGTTTATACAGGGCAATATAATTTAATCCAACAAAGTTATATTTTGGGATAAAAGTCTTAAGGATTTGCACACTGAAGGAGAAGGAAAATTAAATGCTGGGCAAAGTTTTAAATTTGATTTCAAAAAGTGCTCCAGAACACATAGGGGCATGAACTACGGTAAGCCCGTCTGCAGCATTTTAAAGGAACTACATCTTTTCCTGGGATCAGATAGCAACTGTATGGTCCTAGAAAAAGATAGATACTTTGCATAGCTGCTGAAATATACTACATTTGTGCCACTTACATATCCTGGAGAATCTTTTTGGAATTAAATCTCTAGTAGGACATGTTCTTCATATAAAAATATTGACAGGTTGGTGAATGGAAGATCTGCTAGCCATAAAAATGGAAAAGAAAATGGACATATTGCAGTTATTTGCTTCACAATATTGTAATTTCAAATGTCATATACATAATTTTTAGGAACTATCAAATCTACTGAGATGTGCAGCTTTTTGTATTATGCCTTATTTTAATATCCCAGTCAAAATTTGGAAACAACTTATTAATTCAGTGCAAGATGTTGACACTGGAATAAAATTCAGATGATCACAATTACTAAAAACCATGTTTTGTTTTTGGTAAATTCAAAAGAAGCTAGCATTCAAGTCTAATCACTTATACTGTGGGCAACTTTTTGCAATTTTACAGAATGGTGTGAAAATATATCCACTGCCTTAGCATCTTGAAACATTATCCTCAACAAGAAAGATATAGAAAAGTTTAGAAGTCTTGCCTTATTGTGTTTGTAGTAGTGTGTTCAATAATTAACAAATAGAAAATCTATATAGAAAATCTTTATACTCTCTTCACATGGAGTAAGTCTCCTTTAAATTTATTTTGTACAAAACATTACATATTGCTCTTTTCACTCTATAATTTAGCTTGTCACCACTACATCTGCAATTTGATGCAAAGCCAGCAGATAGTCCTATGTTAGCAATGCATCATAAGGACAAGAGCACAGCACAGAATCAACTGGTACATCATAAATGCTGAGAAAGAAAATGATCCTGTCTCTTTGTTTTGAAAGCATGATGCAGCTAGATGTCTAGATTAAGTCTAATGAAGGCACACGTTAGTTATCTCTCTTAAAACAGAGAAGTAATGTAAACATTATGGCACTGGCTCACTGTATTCAGAATAGTTTGAACACAAACATAATACATAAGTACAACGTATACATGGTGAAGTGTTTTTTGTTTCATCTATATCAGAGTTGAGTGTTGTTTTATTCCTTAAAGGAGGAAAAACGTGGGAAAGAGTGCTGGAGGAAGTCCTGCTTAATTTGTTGCATATGGCCAAACGTGTTATAAAATGAAGTGCATGCTACTCAGAAACTAAATGGACTATTCTGATAACTAAATCAGATTAACTCAGATGCCAGAATCTGTCCAAATGTTTGCCCACAAGCAAATCAAAAGATTCAATCTAATTTCTTTTGTTGTTATTCATACAATTACCTTACAAGTCATATTAATCACCTTGGCATTATTCCCAAAAGGGGGGAAGGTACATTATAAAAAGAAATGCACTGTACTTTTAATTATAGAAGTATTTATCAAACCATATGTGCAGATACTTGAGATGATGACAGTGTTAAGCTTCCTAGGGTCCTAGAGTCAAAGAAATTTTGCTGCCCCCCACTGCTAAGTAAGTGCACTCCTTCTACAGGGGGCAACATCTGTCGATCAGTCATGGTTCCACTTGGTGATGACCCCAAAAAAGTTCCTTGGGAAGAAACAATTTTCTCAGGACTTGCAGCCAGTTTGTGGGAAGTGGAGAAGTTGTATCCATACAGAGCACAAGGACTATGCAGCCTGAAAGTGTTGTAAGAGTTTGGATGGGTCTGATTTCCTGGAAAGGCATTGCCAGATGGAGGAGGTATAATGTACTGGAGTTGTGGAGACATCCCTGAAATTTGCATCGATAATCCCGCCTGCGGACAACTGAATGCATCACCATCACTACCTGCCACAGGCATATTCACAGCTGAACCATTTGATACACCAACGTAAGAGGGAGTTGCTGGGGTTGCAAAGGTCTCACTGGTTTGATTGGCAAGCCTGTTGTAGGTTTCAGTCAAGGAAGTACTGTACCTGTTAAGGGTTAGACCTGAGCGAGCACAGGCTGTATAGTCAGCTGAAGCAAGGCTGCAGAATTGGCTAGTATTGGGAGTGAGGTGAAAAGCAGGAGAAGAACAAGGTGACCCCGGAAGGAGATGTGGATGAGTAGATGGTACCCCATTGGCAGATCCCTGGAGCAAACTGGAAGAACCAGTGTTTCCTGAAAGGAAATATCGGAATATTACAGAATGGCATTTATCTATTACTGTTGCATATTGCCCTAAAATGGCCAAAGTAAGATTGTAGCAGGTTAGCACAAAAATGGCTTTTTTTGATGCTACCATGATCAAAAATGAACAGACTAGTGGTTCAATTACTGTACTTCAAGAGTGCAAGATAACATCTACTACAGGCAGCCAACATTAAATGCAAGAATGTAACTCTTCTTTCATTAGGAAGTAATGACCAGGCAGAATGGAGAGGGAAGACTTATTCTGCCCGTTTAGCCTTTGCCATCTTACATCAGTTTGTAGGTTATATTAAAAATTAAATAATTGTTTGAGATTCTTAGTTAAAGGCAGTTCTAAAGAATTTTATTTATATTATAGCTTAAATTTTTATTTATCACGGGCATTAATTTCCAGTTGTACCACCCCATATATTTTATAGAATAATCTTCAAAAGGCATTACAAGTAGAAAGGAGAAGAAGTAATGAAACATGCATTGCAACTTCATGACCCGAATTCTATAAACAATATAACAGGTGAGATGGGTGGTGTAGAAATTTAAGAAATAAATAAAACAAACATCTAGAACATGAGCGTTGGGAATTAAATAAATACAACATTCATATTGGATCATTAATTAGAAGGGAGGTTGAGCTGCCTGCGGTAAAGGTTCCCCTTGCACATACGTACTTGTCATTTTTGGCTCTAGTGGGGCGGTACTCATCTCTATTACAAAGCCGAAGAGGCAGTGTTGTTCGAAGGTCTCCGTGGTCATGTGGCTGGCATGACTATACGCCGAAGGCTGTTACCTTCCCACCAAAGTGGTCCCTATTTTTCTACTTGCATTTTTACATGCTTTTGAACTGCTAGGTTGGCAGAAGCTGGGACAAGTAACAGGAGCTCACTCCGTTATGCAGTGCTAGGGATTCGAACTGCCGACCTTTCTGATCGACAAACTCAGCATCTTATCTAGAGCCTACCTCTTACTAAATACAGAGAGCAGTTGGACTTATGCTTATATTAACTGAAGTCTTTACACTATTATAACTATTGTGTATTTATAGAACTAATTTGCTTCACTGTGGAAAGGCATGCACTACTGTATTTGAACAGCCAAGTGTGTAGCTTTCACAAAAAATCTTCCTCAATCTTAGATCAAAGATTGACAGAACCAGATTAGAATCTGTTAGCATACAGTAACTCTGGGTGATTTACAATGTGCACAGTATAGTTTGTAATAATATGTTGAAGAGCATACTGTAAGAAAGGACAGAAAAAAGAAGTAGAAAAGTCCTGGACGAAAGCTAGAATACAGTTGGTATCTCAAAAAAATTATAACTTTTTTTAATGTAGCAAATGTGGATGGGATGGAAGAAATTTTAATGATTTAATGGTAATTGATGTAGCAACTGTTATTATTATTGTAATTATAAGTTGTTATAATTACAAGCAAGATCTGCCCACATCTACTTCTGGCTAGCTGTTATACATTAACTATACAAATCACATATAACATTTAAAACCAATTATATTGAACATGTTTTCTTTGTTAATTCTGTATCTAGACTGTCCCATAATATGATATCAAAAGGTTTTTTTTCTTTTCATGTAGAATCGGAATAAGATTTGATCTTTAAAATTGAGTTTTAACTTCAGAACTTACTTCTCCATAAATATTTCTTACACATAACAGTTTCATGTTATTCTGCATAAACTGAATCAACTCTTAAGTTTTGATGCTCGTATTCTTAATTTCAGGAAGTCTGGAACTTCTGGATTAAATGAATCTACATATTTGTATGAAAATAAGTTAGAAGAAAAATGTTATTGCTTTTCTAACCAGTAAATGTATTGGGATATTCAATCTGGTGGATGACAGTTAACCACTTTTTTTTTTTTGCTAGAGAATCTACAGGAGGATTGGTAGCAAGGAAAAGTCTTATTCTTAAATTACAATGAAGGAACCTTTTGATTCCTCCCAGATCACTTCTAAATGTGGCATGGGCTATATTTTTTCATCCTTTTCAGTATCTGATAAAGTGGAGTACTATATATTTACTAATAATTATTTTTTCCTTAATAGCTCTTGCTGAGATTCTCTAATATATTTTTATTAGCTTTATTTGATTTCCTGTTAATAGAAAAATGGGTTCAGTCTATCAGTCTAACTTTTAAAACAAACACAAGATTATATAGCCAAATATTTAAATAAACAAAAGTTATTACCTCAATGACAGAAACAACACTTTGATTATATTTAGCATAATTCAATCTATAAACAAGAGTTACCTTGTTTTGCAATTCCAGGTATATCTTCAAATGTAAGTGTTCTCAGTGAAGGCCTCCAGAATGCGTAAGATTCTACTAAAGCTTCCAGTCCCATCCTAGACAACACAACAAGAATATTTTGTGAGTTGAATTACCTAAAAGTTTTTCACATTTTCAGCATGGTATAATTTCATTAAGTATGATTCACAGATAAAGCTGAAGTGCATTGCAGCAAACAAGGAATAAAGGCAAATTACAAGTGTTGGAGATGCAACTCAGGATATGGAATGTAACTCATGGTTTCACTTTGTCCTATTACTATTACATATTGCCCTATTATCTATAGATTTATTAATATGATCCTGGACTGACAGTTGCATGTAATGATGCATTCTTATTCTCTTTAAATTTCCCAAATTGTAGATTTTAGGGCTTGGGTATAACTAAAAGAATTATTATATGACTCCAGGGGAGAAATGTATGTGCTATTAGCCAGTGAAGGATTGTACATTTTTATAAACATCTGAATTAGGATTTCCTACAACATCCCATTTCATCGTGAAAAATGGGGAATAAGGCTTTCAAGCAATGTTTACTTGGTTTTTGAAAATTTTTGTTAACGATATATGTATCATTACACTTGTCAATTCCAACTATTGGGATTTTCAGTGTGAACAGTTCTGCAATTACTGAAATATTAATTTGCTTCAAATTTTTTACTGCTTAAATGTATGCAATGACCCAGTCATATAAGTAAGTGGGTCAGGGATTTCATTTTGGGATGAACTTTCATGATAACAATTATCAGCATATTCCTGAAATACAGATATATTTTCTCTTAAACTACATATTACTACCAAAGACGTAATATTTAAGTCTATATATAATTATAGTTTCATTACTCTGTTCATCGCATAGAACTAAAAAAGAATCACATATGGGAAAGGTATGGAAAATTTCAACCAAAATTATCCCTGAGAAAATATTAAAATAGCTAGGTCCTTTTAATTTAGAAAAAAATGCGGTAGCAGTTTGCAAAATGATAAGTGATATGCAGAAAGATACATTTTTTAGTTTGTCTCATACCACTAGAACTTGAAGTCAACCAATTAAATTGACTGGCAATAGAATCTGGAGAGAAAAGACAAAGTACTTCTTTTATCGTAAACATAATTAACTTATGGAATTCACTTTCTTTGGAGACACAATCAAACCAGAATTGCAATTTAGCTTAGCAATTTGAAACAACCAGTATTCTCCCATGACATTGCTTCTCTAAGACAGTGGTGCCAGACTGATCCCCAAAACACTGTAGGAAAGAATTAAGAAATAATATGATATGTGAATTTCAAAAATAGCTTTAATTTTTTTTATCCCTGTGGTAATAGGAGAGTTTTCATTTTTCGCTAAAGTACAGATAAAAGCCCATCTCCTGAAGAAGTGATGCCAATGTGATAATTTATACAAGATGCTTTTGAGGATTGTCCTGTTTTATCACTATCATAATTTATACATCCAAATGGCTAATTTTATTAACTGTATCATATTTTTTTTCTGAGAAAGAAAGAAAATATATGTTTTACTTCCTGGAGTAAATTTTTTTATAATATTCTTTTCCAAAGAATTCTGTTTTCAATAAAGCCTATTTTACTTCATAAGATTGTCAGTCATACACAGTATATTTCTCATACACAAATCTGCTGATTTTTACATACAATGTCTGTAAAATAATATGAGCAAAAACACGACATTTCATTGCGTGGTTTCAAGCACATACAATATGCTTTATTCTGCTTTATATACCAAGCAAGGAGTTGGCCTTAATGGCTTCTTCCAACTTTATGAATCTATACCAAATTTTAATTCCCAAATGACATACAACTTAGATATGCTACTTTTGCTCCAAATACTTATGCATTTTCATAAATAACATGTAGTTTTACAATAAATGTCAGAACATTTACCTGTTGCGCCCTGAATCTCTAAATCCTTTTGCAAAAGGATTTCTATCAATCTTGAGTCTGGTGATCTGTAAAGATAATACGTAGAAAATGTGCAAAGTTTTTAAAGTCACACACAGAAAGTCTACATAAAAACTGAATTACCACCATTAAATAATAATGCAAGCATATTTTGTAAGTACATGCCAAAACCCCCTGTATATTACATATATCAAGTTATTATTTGTTCAGTGAAACTAATTGGACAGAGTCCAATGAAAATTTAATTCCTGTAAAAATCATGTGGGAAAATATCTAAACACCAGTAGCAAATCTCATTTTTATTGAATTGCTTTTTCTATCCAATAGCTTTTCTACCATCCTGCTTCTTTGGAGGCTACATAGATGCATTAGTAGGTGGATAATGCCCTTGGCATGTACATTTGTCAACAAAAATTAATGCAGCCTTCTGACATTTCAGCCAGTTATTTTAAATAATTAACATCTAATATTATGTTCAAAAGCACATTGTTATATTGTGTAAATAAAACCTAGCCATATCCAGGTTAAAAGGGTTGTGGAAAGGGCAACAAAACTTTTGCATCTCCCTGTTCTTATAGCAGACACAGTGGATCAGTAGCTAAGACGCTGAGCTTGTTGATCAGAAAGGTCAGCAGTTTGGCGGTTTGAATCCCTAGCACCACGTAACTGAGTGAATTCCCGTTACTTGTTCCAGCTTCTGTCAATCTAGCAGTTCGAAGGTGTGTAAGATGCAAGTAGAAAAATAGGGACCACTTTGGTGGGAAGGTAACAGCGTTCCGTGCTCCTTCGGTGTTTTAGTCATGCCGGCAGGCACATGATCACGGAGATGTCTTCGGACAGTGCTGGCTCTTCGGCTTTGTAATGGATATGAGCATCTCCCCCTAGAGCCGGAAATGACTAGCACGTATGTACGAGGGGAACCTTTACCTTTATTCTTATAGTACCTGCAAATATTATCTAATAGCTCTGAGCATGGTGGCTCACAGCTGGGTGGGAAAGAATGTACAAGATGATAAGAACTTCTGTGGCATAATTTCTATTACTAGCAGGTTGGATGTTTTCCATCTACTTCCTCTGGGTAGTCAGGAAATAGGTGAAGAATTGATTCAAGAAGTGATTAATGATTTTTGGGGGGGAAATGGATAGGTACCAGCAGCCTTGAAGGAGGCAGTGTGGTGTTTATTCTGTAGTTTTCAATCTTCTCTTTCTAATTAGCCCTTCAAAATAGATCAGACTAGGAATTCAATATTATGTAGGTCAGTACTGCTTTTATTGTAAAGCCATGGTATAGTTTTTGATGTTTGCCAGTATTTCTTTTGTTTAACTTTTGATAGACTTTAATGCCCATCCTACTAAGCCATCGGCATTAAAACAAAATAAAACAAAAGTTACCTGTTGGTTCTGGTATGCTGTGACAGTAGTGAAAACAGTTTCGGGAAAAGTGAATGCCTTCACGCCATCCCCAAAAGGAATGGGTTTGACTGGGGAGAGATCGTCCCCACAGTCTTTTCTAATGACATGGACACGTGGCTGGTATTTGTGCATAGAATGAAGAATTATCTATATTGAAAAAGAGAAAGAAAGAAAAACGTTCTAATTTTCTTCCTGTTTCTATTATATTTATTTTAAATATAATAGTATGAATTGCCCACCCTGCTTTATTCTGACAGAAGCAAATATGCTGTATTGAATCTAAAAACTACCCAGCTTTAGTTCAATAGAATGGCTTTGGATGATAATTTTTAAGCTAACAGAAGCAATTATCAAAGTTTTAAAAACGAGTTGTTGGACTAAAGCTGATTCTGTTCAGTTCAGACTAAAATATTTCAGAAATACTCTTGAACTTTCTGTTTTCTGAATCATGAAGAAATCACGTATTCATCAGCTACTGAACATACCCAGTTTATAAGGAGTAATTTAATCTTTTATTTATTATACCATATAAACATATTTTTTAAAAAATATTACTTTATAAGGATATGATAGCAAACTGTGTCATTCTAAAAATCTTTACATCAGAATAGCATAACTTAGACCACAGCAAAGGAAATCTTAGACTTTAATTTAACCTGAATCAAAGTTATGTCACTGGTACACTATACACTATAGTCACCAGTCCAAAAATACTACAAATGATGTTCACATAACTCCAAAAGATAGAGTGTTTACCTAAACAAACCAAAATAGAAGGATGCCCAATTGGTACTATGAGAAGCTTGTCAAAGAATACAGTGTTGAACATGCCAATCTTCCTTGCCAGTATTCAAAGAGGATTTATCTTTGTATACCCATTGTTCTTCTCCTATTCTACTTGTTCATTCTGTCTCCTAAGAATTCATAGAATCTCAACGTATTCATCTGATAGCAAGTTTTTAAAACAAATATTAAAGCCCTGAGGTGGCCTTTCTATATTATGTTTCCTTCACAATGCAGCAATTTCTCCATCTAATATCACAGAAGTGTTCAATCTCAGCGTTCATAATTCCCAGTCCACGTTTAAGAATTGTTGGAGTTCAGGTATAAAATACTTATAGACTATTGAGTTGGGAAAAATTTTTGTAAAAAATTAGAATAGCCACTGTTCATATACCTACATATATGGATTCATCGTTAACACACTGATTAACAATGTGAATTCTGACCTTGGGCAAAACAAAAATAAATGGAATTAGAGTGGCAAAAGTAAAAGCTCAATGATCTAGTTAAAAACTGAAAGTACAACAGGCATCCAAGGGCACTAGAAAAATTTAATTTAGTCCATATAGATTCTCAATTGCTATTTAGTTCGTTTGTTGTACTTTTTTAACCACCCATCTCCCTCAGAAGAAAAATATATCTGAAAAGGAGTTGTAAAACACTCTCTCCATCAGATTGTGCAAAGTCTACTACATCTCTGAAATATCATTTCTTTTTGTTGCTTCCCAAATTCAAAATTGTTCATGTGAAACTTCTAGAATGAACATGGGAATGTTTTCATAATATCTTAAAAACCATAATTTTCAAAGATTTCTGAAGAAAATATTACATCAGTTTTAGGATGCACCTGAATTTGTTTCAAATAAAAAATATATTACTTTTGAAAATTGTTTTGTTTCGAAGTTTTATGGCTATCAGCCAACAGACTGTCAATTTAAAATGAATACAATTTTTAATTTCCTGTTTCATTATTGGCCACAAAATATTAAATTCAGCTCTGTATGTCATCATTCCCTAGTTCCCATTTCATGATACTTTATTGAATGCCAAAGTTCATAAAATCTTACTGTGCCCAAAAATGGAATGATTTTATATTTGAAAAAAATAAAAATCTTGGCTATCATTAGGACACTTTTAAGTGAAATCATTCCACACTTGGGAAAGTGACAGTCTTTTGGATAAGCAAAATTCCACATACATAAACTTCCATTACACTGAACTCTGATTTTTGACAGTTTTATCAGATGCACACCAAATATGCTTAGATAAGTTCCCCCCAAGTACTTTCTCCAACATCTGCATTTTTATCAGAACAAGATATCAACAATCATTCTGCTGAAGCAAACATTTCAAAAGTATATTAGATATTTTGGACAATTTGTACTGCTTTGGTAAAATCACACTGAAGAAGAAATCACTCCATAATTCTGAAAATGTTAATACACTTCTTTGTGTGTGAGAGAGTAGAGTGAATGAGTGAGTGTGAATGCTTTTGGCACTATCCATATGGAAAGTTATTTATTTATTTTTCCAGCGAGACTCTTTCACACAATGAATTATTTTTGTTGTTACTCATTTGCCAATGGACTTCCGCAAAAAATATCACCACTAGTCTTACAGAAATAACTGGCCAAAGATTTCGACTTGAAAAAACAATGCTAATAACCCAGTGTCTTCAAATAATGCAACATTGATGAATGATTTCTTCTCAGCACAAGAGAATTCTGGGACTGGTTGGAGAAATTAGAAGTAAAGATATAATCTTCCCTTTAACAAGGAGAGGTAAATGCACTGTAGACTATTATTGCAAAGAAAAAAAACCTAAAACCTAAAAAATTACTGTAGAACTTCTCTCTTCATTTTCATGAAGGCAATTCCTTGGATACAAGCTTCAACAAAACTAATAGGGCTTAGACTTTGAACTTACTTTCATGTCAAAGCCTTCTGGATGAAATGAATGAACTGACTTATGTTTGTTTCGTATGGTAAAAAGTACTGGGCATGCCAGTAAATGGTCTGTTTGTTACAATTACACAAAGTCACTCAGGATTAGAATAATATTCAAGATTAGAAATAAATATCTCTCATTTCAATTCAATATATTTTCCTGGATGTGTACATTCCTGAATGTGACTGAGATAAAAAAAAATTGTGACTGTGAAATATTTCACCATGAAAAGCCTACGAGTATTTTTTGATTTTTAATACTATACTCTAGCTTGAATACTAATTGTATTTCAAACCTACTGCTTTCCCTTTCCCCTGTTTGTAGATTCTTGAAACTCTTGTTTGATCATGCTTAGAAGTGCTGCAGATGAAACACAAATGTATACAGATAAAAAAAGAAATTTCTGATTATCATTTTGTTGTATCTCCAAAAGGTAACACAGAGATAAAAAGTCCAACTAAAGTACAATTTTAGTGATCTAAATACTGTAAAGCAAGATAAGAAAATAGATTGGTAAAAGATCCCAAACCACACTAAATCTTTTTCAAGTAAGCAGCACTTAAGTATTTGTAAAACACCCAGCATAACCAGAAAACAGATTTAATCAACATACCTGTGACAACAAAGACTATACAATTGTGCTATATCTGTCCTCCCTCACATATTTAGAATTTCAAGACACTGGGTCTGTACAGAATAAATGAATTGCTGGAATTTCTAGCCTTTCTGCAAAAATAAAATGATCAGTATGTTGATATTTTTGGAGCGGAATTTTATAGCTTTCAATAATTTTTAAAAAACTATACTTACAACCTGTATTTGTGTCCCTCCTTCTAATTTTTATTGCCATAATTTTGGTTTGTTAGCAAGCGTGTTTATTCAAAAGTATTATTCAGGACTATGCAATAAAAAGTTCAATTGGATTCACTCCAAGGAATTAAATCAGGATTGCAGCTAAGTCTCGATCATAAATATTACTTTAGGTTTCTATAAAATGTATTAAGCTATAAATGATTAACTATAGAACACTCATCTATACATCTCTACTGTAGCCGAAACAGTGTAGAGGTAGACATCTCAATTGGGGATTACGGGGAATAGAATACTACATTAGAGGACTTTTTGGTCTTATCTAATAGCATTCTATTTTAATCTTTTTATCCTAGACATAATTTCATCCTTGCTCTGCAATTTCTAAATATGCAAATCTGCAGGATCAATACTAGTAATTATTCCATATTTAGATCCACTGAAACAGTACATGCATACATACATTTTAAGACAATTCATGCCATTGAAAATTAATATTTGTTTTCAACCAGAGGCCATCAAGTTGCCTAATTATGTGTTGAACTGAAGATTTATCCGAGTCTTTCCTCAGTAGTGGACTTCAGAACAAATCAGCTCTTAATTTGCCGGCACCCTAGTTTACTTGGACAACAAGATGCAGTTCTGGGTCTAGTTAACATCTTTTCTTCTGAGATACTAATTAGTATGAAGAGGCAATGTTATGAATTGTCCAAACTTCTGCCAGAAATTTGTCAATGATGCATCAAGGCAGAATTGGTCACATGAAAACATCTCCCCTAAAATGTCTGAGAGTGAGAAACACAGTAAAATTTGCAGAGGTACAGCAGGAACTGGTTAATTTTCTGAAAGGCAACGATAAGAGATTGCCAAAGCATTATGGTACTGTTCATAACTGCAAGCGAAGAAAGAGCATCATTTAAATAAACACTAGCATGTTGGTATTATGTTTTTGTTTTTTTAAACCAGTGACTCTTTTACGCTTTCAATTATAATTTCATAATTATGACTGAAACGGGCTTTCCCCCCCTTAAGATTAAGATTAGAGTTAAAATTTGGAAACTATTAAAGAAACAAACAGAATGCAGAAATATATTTCTAGAACAGGTACCATTATTTTAGTAGTAAGCATGTTAATTGTTTACATTACACTGAATAAACAAGCCAGGTTTTTAATACCAGAAAAATGTTTTTATGTTGGTGGAATAATATAATAAATCTTAAGATAATTAACAAAGAAATTAAAGCAGGAGATAAAGGCAAACTTGAATTTATTTATTTATTTATTTATTTGTATATTTGAGAGATGAAAATAGCCTTATCAGTAAGTATACAAAGAGACAACAATAGTATCCTTTGGCTTAGTAAAATAAGAATAAGAATATTTACTCTAGTTTGTACTCCTTTAACTTCCATTAGTTCAACTATGAATATGTACTTTATTAAGAATGCTTCAGGTTTTTATTTTATGGAAGTTATAAAATTATACGAGGAAATTATTTTTAGAAATGTCATTTGGAGAACATTTTAGGAAATATGATTGATGTTACAAATAATTTTCAGTCTATATGAACGTGAAATAAATTCAGTTTAAAATTCTATTCTACTGGCATTTTATTCCAGATAAAAGAAATAGAATGTATGGGTATACAAGGATTTTAAAATGTGATATTATACCATATTTTCTAAACCTATCCCAAGGTGCTATTATAGTTGGTTGGATTACATTGCTTTGTAAGTATTATTTTTATTAAACTCAATCAATAGGAATTTCAAATATAAACAGATAGATGATTTGACCTCTGCAAAAATATCTATGGAAGACACTGCAAAATGTCCTTATTCCCAATACTAGGAAATATCTCTTGAAAATATTAAAATTTCATCAAGATGAAATTGATGTACATGGAAAATGTAAATAGTTGAATAAGCAATTTAATCTGAACTATTTTTAATTTCACATGTTTTGGAACAGGCAAAATTTACTATTTTTTATATTTTCAAATTGAGAATTATTTATGTATTAAAAACTGTCAGAAGCTTTCAATATCAATACACTTAAATGTCTACAGCATGATTATAGACATTGAAAGTACAAATGATATGAATATATTTATCAAACAATCTTGTTTCCCTGACAAATCTGAACATTTTGTATGAAAGTATTTTGGCATTAAATCCATATAATAACAAGGTATAAAATATTTTATTACATAATATAATTAAATGCTCCAGGAAAATTATATAACATTTAGTATATCTGAAAGCTTACAATAACATCAATATAGGCAATATTGTAGCAATATTCATCTATTTACATATGATACATAATCCCTTGAGATTTGTTCAATGTGCAATAATTCCACTATTTTGAAATGCTTTCTTATTCAATCTTGGTGGCTAAATAATCAAAACAATATATTTTTGAATAATCTTTCTCCATTTTATAATTCTGACTGGGTAACCATCAATGACTATTTAAATCTCATTTTTTTAATATAAACTTTTGTCTCAAATTTATTTGTTAGTTTTGAATCACTTGGGTGTATATTTTTTCAAATGATAAGACAGCTATTTGACTTTCTTCGAAATTGAAGTATTCAATTAATGCAGGGCATTTCCATAACTCTAAACTACAATATGAATAATAAATAGCTAAGTTTATACAGTTTTAATTAAGAGAGGATTTAAGTAAATCCATATAGAAGATTTAGAAGGTATTGAAAATTTGTTTTCTATATCTTTCATGAGGTGTTATCCAACTCATAGAGGCTTGAATACCAGCTGCTTCTGAATAATTTAAACTGACTATAGTAAAGTAGTGTTTGATAAGACCACAGCTTTCTTCTAAAAAAGAAATTGAAATTTGAGGCCACTCTCTCTACTCTTGCTCAAATTAGATGCAGAAATCCAACAGTCTTTCCAAAATGATTGCAATTTATATAATTGCTTTTTATCCCCTTTTTATTTGATTCTCTTCATTCCTTTGAGGGTCTCACAGAATCACACTTCTTAATCTTGGAATAAACTATCTTAAAAATGATTTAATTGTAACTGTCTTACAAAGATGCATTGCCATCTAAAAGATCATTTACAAAAGAATTAAAAATTAGTAGGGCCAATTTTCAGCCACATTTAAGCTTGCCTAACACACTGACATAAAGATACAGGTAATCTGTCAATAATAAAAGGAAAAACAAGACACAATCATAATATGAACATAATGAATATCAAATTTTCATAAGAGATTTTCCAGAATTATGTAAAGATTTTCCAGATTAGATAATTATTAAGCAAAACTAGAAAATTTAAATGCAATTTAGAATATTTAATGTAATATTCAATCTAAACCATATTTCACCTAGAATTGCAAGCTAAAGTAGTTAGGTTAACATACAAAAAGATTGATTGTATTTTGTATACTTAAAAAGGCCCTTACGTACCTCCAAAATTCAGCCTGTTTTTCTAAGTCCAAGCAGCCACCTATTTCTGAATTTATGAAAAGTATCAAAAAATACTCAAAACTATTTGTATGTTATTGTTATTATATAACTTGAGATGTATTTTAATCATTTTTAAAGATACTAGTGTATTCCTTTTTTCTTGTTTGAAAATGGAAATATTCCTAAAGCATATATTATCAAATGAGCTAGTATCATAACTAAACGATTTAGAAGCTTTCAAACACAATAATTAAACTATACAATTCCCTTCCAGTTTTGCAGATGTAACGAGCTTCAGCTGTAAAAAGGTCTTGTTGTGTAAGATAGGTAATAAATCATTATCAGAGTTGTTCTCTCTCAGCTCTCATTTTGTTCCTTTTGAGAATAGCATAAAGCTCATGGGAACTTTGCAAAAATTATCAAATCATGATATACATTTTCTTTAGTGCACCTATGGTTCCTATATGTTGAGAACACATTTTAAGGATTTATAGTCTATATTTTTTCACTTTTTAAAAAAACATCCAACAATTACAGAGAGAAAGGCAAAGTACACTGTTTGTTCTGTACTTTCAGTTTTGATATTTTTCATATGCTCAATTTTGTTTGTGTCCAAAGGCCCCAAACATCTGATGGAAACTATTACTAATTCACTGATGTGGCAAAATATGAAAACATTCATTAACAAAGCTGACGTAAGCTTTGCTAAATCAATTTTTGTTAGTGTTAAGTCCAAAGGTTTATTAATTTATTTTTAAGAGTAACTGTCTTATGTGAATGTTGCTGAAAAACAAATACATTAAAAAAAATAACTCACATGACCCTGGTCATCCAGTTCATTGTTTGTAAGCTTCAGTTTGTCAAAGCTAATCACTTGCCGCATCCAAGTCTCTCCTGAAGCAGGTGAATCTGGATGAATGTACACACGGGCAGGAACGGGTGAGTCAGCATTTCCAGCTACCATCCATTTGGAACTATGATAAACGTACCTATGAGGAAGATTTATGACATTCACAATGAAAATATTCTTTTGCAAGTTTGCTGTAATATAAGTGTATACTCTATAATTCCCCCCTCCCCTTTAGGTTTTAGTTAATGGTTGCTTTATATTGTTTTTAAATTGGGTTAATTATGCATTTTACTTCTGGTCCTACTGAAAATTGCTTCAAGATGCTTTGGCATGGAAAGCAATATAATAAATAAATAATTATTTACTTACTTTCTAAGGCTGCCTACTCTCCAAGAGATTCTGGGTGTCTTACAAGAGGGTTAAAAACATCCAAAAACAAAACACTAAAGCATTACAGAAGTAAAGCCACCACACCAAGGAAGGCAGATTCAAAGTCTGCTACTTGCTATTGAGTTCAGGCACTGTCTAAGCCCAGTGTTTTCGAGAAGGGTCCTGTCTTAAGGCTTTCCTAAATACAGCAGAACTTGGGCCATTTCAGGCTTGGGGTGGGTAGTGGTGGAATGCTATTCCAGAAAATCAGGCACAGCAACATATTTACAGAAAAGAAAAGAGCGGGACTGTTTCCCTTGTCAGCATTACTTCTTTATTGTAAAGAAAAATACTGTTATTGTATGATTTAAGCTTTGTGGTCATATTTTAATAGAACAGATTCATTACTGAATAAATTAAGTCAGTATTTTTCTATCAGTAAATTGAACTGCAGATAGAAACATTTGTTCCAAATCCCTCATTGATAATTAAAACAATTCAAAAATTATAATTTATATAAACAAAAACTTTACTTGGAAAAACGATCAGGCTTGCTATCTTATGAGGTAAAAATATGTAAAAATATTCTTAATACAAGAATAAACTACGTGTTATGTAAGAATTAATCCCAGGTAAAGGTGTTAAAACTGCAACCCACAAAAAGAAAGGGTCTTTTGTTAATGGGAAAGGCTTTGACCCAGCAATGCTTTTCCTTGGTGAATGAGAAGGGAGGACAGATACAGCTTTTATCAATGTTCCCTTCTCCTTGCAATCCAACAATACCGTTATTTCACAACAGACTGTACCCTGAGGAATTCTCCACCAATTCACCACAGTAAGATATGATGAAAGCCATTAATCTGTGCAGCTTTAAAAGAGGATTCGTGGAGGTAAGGCTATCATATGCTTATTAATTTTGAAGAAAATTGGGGCAAAATAGCTTCCAGATAGCAGATACAAAGGACCGTGGCATGTCTGTTTCATGCCTATAAGTGCAGAGGAGCATCCAGTATTGAGAAATGAAATGTTGGATGAAGGTGAATTTTGGCCTAATCCAGGAGGAGGATTTGTGTATGTTTTCATATCACTGAGCTGAACACCCCCTCCTTCTGCCCAAAAAAACAGAATCATCAACTCACAATCAAAGACTATTGATGCAAAGTACCTACCTACCTATCGACCTACCTATCTATCTTATCTAAAAAAGTAAAATGATTTATTTATATTTCCTATTTTTAAACTGCCCATCTCGCTTAGAGAAGGGTTCTGGGTGGTGTATCCAAATATTACATCTATATTTAGAACATTTCTTTCCATACATTTAGGTAATCATTTAGCAGAAAGTTTATTCGTAATGCACTATTTAACATTCTTATTTCTGTGCAGAATTAAATATAGATGAGAAATAATCAGCATGAGTTATAACTTTAAGTTTCACTAAAGCTAATAGTAAAAAATAAATATTTTAAAAATAAAAATTAGGTTGTTATTTTAGAAATATGGCTTTTTAGTATAACCCCTGCAATTACATTTGCATTCATGATGAGTAGAGCAATCTTAAACAAAGAAATCCTATTGAATAAGATTTAGAAAATTTATTTAAGATTTGCAACCGAAGGTGATCAAGTGCAATTCAGATTCATACTTCGTTATATTTATTTGACCCTTATATAACTGAGGTTTCTCATCTGTTTTAATAAATCACTGGGTCAACGTATTAAAGTATTATCACAATATTATGCACTAGAATCAATTAGGATGATGTTTCAGAACATATGATGCAAAATTGGACTTTTTTTTATAAATCCAAAAGGTAAATCAAGATTGGAGAAAGGAGAATATAATGATGTTGTATTTATTACATTCAATAACTTGATTTTTTTTTTTAAAAAAAAGAATTGACACATTTTCGAACAATGGTTTTAGAAGTATTTCCAATAAATTAAAACCCAAATCTTTTCCTCAGAGAAATGAATGTGTAAAACTTATCTAATTTTATAGTAAAGATATTCTGAGCAATTTTCTGAAAGCATTTATTATATTTCCCTTTCTACAAATTTAGGAATTGTAGTGGGAATTGCAGATATATACCACTTTGGCAAAGATCTATAAGATTGAACTCTTACATTAACATATTTAATGTTATTGATAGCCATTCGGTGATTACAAACAATTGCACAGAAATAACAGCACATATTAAATAGCCGAACCAAACTTTTCCAGCATTTTCTATACTATGCTTTGTCATAACCTCAAACAGTCATGAAGCAACCAGTTGTAAGTTGAAGTCTACCAGTAACCTGCCCGAAGTCACCCAACAAACAGGTTTCATGGCTAAAGTGGAACTAGAATTCAGTCTCCTGCTATCTAGCCTGGTTTTTCCATAATAAACAGAAATATTAATTCTATGTAATTTAATTATGTATCCAATATGGTTAACTATTACATTCCTTGATTAAAAAACAATTTAAAAATCAGTACAATGACATAAAGACATAAAGACAAGAGCCGGATCAATTATTATTATTAAATGAAATAAAAGTTTAAATACAGAGGAGCAAAAGAGACATAATTGTTTGAATGAAATCAAATATTGCCTTGAATAACATTGATGATTTCCAAATGTGCTACAAACCATTAAAAAAGGCTCTCCAATTTATGCCAAATGCATATAAAACTTGGGAGAGAGAGAGGAGGAGGAGCCTGCTTGGGCAGCTCATCTCAGAGAAGAAAATTCTTCAATAAACTGACCTTATATTATCTAAGAATTTATAACAAACATTCTGAATTGTACCCATTAACAAACTACCAGTCATATAAATATTGTAGTCAAAAAGTTACACTCTTTTTATAACTGGTCTAACAACCTGACTGCAGCATTTTAAGTTAGCCAAAATTTCCAATCTTCAAAAGCAATCCTCCGATAGTATGGAAGTGATCTAATCCAGATGTAACTATACCAATGCCAAGTCAGACACCTTAAACTGGCATATTTGGAGCCGAGGAAGACTCCTGGCTACCAATGAAAGGGAAGTAGCCAAACTATGATTAAATCTAGAGATATCCTCAAACTAAGCATCTGAATTCCAACTCGCTTATCTTTTTACCAGCCAAGATCAGTTAGATCCTTTCATTTTGTTTGCTCTCATCCAATCCATAATAAACTGTAGTTTTTTTTAAAAAAAAATCAACATTATCTTTGGATTATGACAGACAGAACTAGGAATCATCCAATTTGTGGTAACACCAAGGTGAAAAGCAAGGGACAATCTTCAAAAGGAAACTATGCTGTTTAAATTCTCTTATCAAATGCCCAATTCTCAGAGGAATCAAAATAGTTTCGATCCCATAATAACTATCAACCCATATTCAAGTGAATCTCAATAAGCTGTACAATATTCTCAAGGAGGGAAATGTATTTTACATGCCATTATATGTATGTTTTACTAAAATCTGGAAATCACACAATATAATGGAATTCAAGGCTAGCTTCCTTCTATTAGGTTTTATAAACCAAGAGAATATGGTTGAATCATTTAAGAATACATATGGTGTATGCTAATTTCCCATAATTTTATTCACTTTGGGCTATATAAACTGAAAAATATCCATCAAAATTGGAGAACAGAACTCCATTAAACTCCATTAATGATAGTATTCGAATCTAATGGGTATGAATGAATTTATCTGCAAAATCCTTTGTTTAACTGGATGTAGTGATCTACTGAGCCAGCCTCATTTTTTCAAAACCCAAATATAGACCTATGCATACCAGCAAAAAGTCCATTACTTAACTAGTGCACGTACTATGATAATGGAGAAGAAAACTATCTTTGTTTCATTTCTCTTATGGAATATTTTTAAAATAGGCTTCTGTCCTACATTCCATAGAAGTTTCTCAAGTGTTTCATTAATGTCTCTTCAACATTCATTTAATGTAATGATCTAATCTAATCTATCTATATATCTATCTCAGGACATTTGTTTAGCTTCATGAAGTATACACAGGAATAATTGAACAACTATTTTTGCTACATCTTTGCTACTGGAGATGGCATGAAATTCAACTGCTATGCATCTACCCTACAAAGAAATAACCAAGGAGAGAAGGACTACCAACATCCTGTGGAATAATCATAATTCTATGATGGCCATGTAGCATCCATCTTGAAAATGTATTCAGTCTAGTAAAATGTATGCAATAATATCCCATCTTGAAATAATTCAAGGCAGATCTAGGGTATGAAAATTGCTTAGTATTTCTTCTATTTCCTTCTCTTTTTGAGCAAAATACCAGGTATGAGCTTTAAAGGTGATGCTTTATCATAACTGCTTCATGAAACAAACTCCATCCCACCAACTCTTTAGCCATAGGCTAAAGCAAAGCAAGTACATTTTCTTTTTTAGTTTTGTGGTGTCCTCCAGGATTTCCACTAGCTGGAAGAGGCTTCCGTGCTGTCCCCCCTAGTGGACCTGCTAATCAAATGTCAAGATCCCAATAAGACATACCACATCACCGTTGCCTCTTGACTAGGTAAAGACATAATTTCCATGGTGACACAGAAAAATTACAGCTGCCTTGTATGCTTGTAACTTTAGCTATTGAGTAGTTCCATATTCATGCAGTGTTGTTCTTAATTGGGCTAGCAAAGTGATTTGCACACAGTAAAGACAGTCTACTTCATTTCAATCTTACTACTTATGGTGAACCTATCTGCAAGTAAGGAGCTGAAGACTGTTGTTTACAAGATGAAAAAAAATTGATAACAGAGGATATTCAATATATGAACCAAATGTATAATGCAACTCAAACACAAAAAACAATCACCAACTTTGGGATTGTTCATGGGTGAAAAGAAGATAGGAATTTGGAAGGGAATTAAGCACAATCTTTGTTATTTTCCAGATAAACTATATTTCCCTCATCCCATTATTAATGCTACTTTACCTGTATCTTTTGCTGTCTACAGGGACAATATCCATAGCAATGTAATATTGCTGATGAGGATCTAGGCCTGAAATTTTCACTCTCATTGCAGGAAACATCCGTCTGAATATAAAAAGAATATTTAATAAAAAACAGATTTGGACACAAAATCAGGAACATGATTGAAGTAAAACCCTAAATTCTTTCTCATTGAAAGTTATCTGCAGGACTTTTTTTTCTTTTTAAATCATCAGAGTCAATTCATTAAAACACAACAACCCAATGTGTTACATTGTCTCAACAATTTTTACATGTATTTTGTTAGTGAAATTCCTTCAAAGAACAAACTCAACCCCATTTAAGTATAGATGTGAATTAGCAAGCTTATTTTTTTGCTTTTAATTTGTTGCTGTTTTAAAACTCACATCCCAGGCTGAAGTAACAGCTGCAGCCACTCAGAAATATGATTTTCAGTTTGCCATTCTGGTCCTCAATTTTGTTTCCTCAAAAGTAAATAGGTACAGCTCATCTTCATGTCTTAGAGCCCTGAACATAAACATTTTCCCTCCACCATTACGTGCATACATGCACAACCTAAATTGATATGTAAACAGATTATCAAAACTAGCAGTTGTCAAGGGAAAAAAAATCTATGTCTTTATCAGCTGCTTCTAATAATTAGCATAGTGAGAGATTATAGCATCTGTCACCTTTTCAGCAGTGAATATATATTACAGAAACAATAAGCATGGTTTTAGAGGTGAATTTCCCAGGACAGGGTTGTATTACTTATAATGTTGGGGGGGGGGAGGCATATATATGCACAATTGTGTATATGTATAAACTCCAAATCATGGTTACATCTGAACTATATACATATAGTATATAGACACATATCTATCCATAAAGGTACAATTCTAAATGTGTATTTAGAAACAAATTCCAATAATACAAATAGGATTTACTTCTGTATAAAGGCAATTATGAATTATTTCCCCCACTTTTTAAGTAAAAAGACTTACTAAGTATAGTATTTAATAGGTATATAAAATGTATTTATATTTCACATTTCTAAACTGCCCATCTCCCTCAATGAGAGAAAAAATTACTTCAAAAATTACCTCAAAAATTACTTCATTAAAAGAATAAAAAAAATCCATGCAGCAATTTTGCTACTGTCTAACTGAAATCACTACATAGAAATTTATGACTTACTATAATGTATTTCTCAAATTAACTCTTGGGTAAAAACTGTCTTAGCATTAAAGGAATTTCATAACATTTTTTTATTTTCATATAAAGGGCATAGATATTCTATTTTCCTAAAATTCTCAGTCTTTTCTAAAAATATGAAATCTAAATTACATTCTAGAAATAATAAAATTAACATTTTTTAAAAAACCAAGAAGCAAAACTAGCTGTGGCTAACTAGTTTTTAACATTTTTTTAATCTGTAAAATAAAGAAAAATTGACAGGAAAATTGTTAAGTCAAACGTTCCCTTGTGTTTTTTTAATACTGCATTTCAATCATTAACAAAACCTCTCTGAAAATGAAGGTGACATATGGCTTCAATAAAATGTGTTTCTGTCATTTTAATGCATTCAGATACATTTCTACAATGCAGACTTTTATCATATTGCATACATTCTTTAGAAAATAAGAAAGTTATTTTTAGGAGAATGTAGTTTTGTTAAAATAATGGACAGGAAACCTACCATTCTTCACATTCTGCCTCATTTATAATTCTAATGGCTTCTCCAGCTCCATAATTTGCTAAATTATTTTGACATATCATCAGTTTGAATCCATACCCACCATTCTTAAATATTATTACATGTTAGAGATAATTTAAACTTCCTATTTTCACAACAGTAAATGTTTATGTTTAATTAGCATAATGGTGAAAGTTTGAACATGAAAAATGCTTGAGACAATACAAATTATCTGAAGCAGAAAACCAAAGGCAACCAATGGTCTCTCCTGAATATTTTGCTTCTGATCTAATATTTTGATTTTCTATCAGAAAACATTTAGAGAAATTTTATTCATACTTCAGAATGCTAGAAACAGTACGTGAAATGTTTTCACTATTATAAACAAAAAAATAGATACAACAGATAATAACATTTCAAGCCATACCTAATATTAGGCTTTTTAAAAATAGACCGATCATTATTGATAATAAACAATTTAATTTCAAACCAATAGCCTTTCCAAGGAATATACTGAAGATCATTGATTAGCTGGAAAAGAAGAAAGAACTTCATTTTTACGACTGTTACTAAGACTGTGCCCCTTATTTTAAAATGTATCTCTAAATCTTGCCACATAAGAACATGGAAATTAACTCAGATGATTTACATACAATCACTGTAATACTGAATATATGCGCGTGGAGATAGTTTGCCTTTCGATTTGGTATCTCATTCCAAAACATATTCTGACTTTAAGATTTACTTCCAAATTAACACGGAGGGGATGGTCGCTAACGTTAAAAACACCCCATGATCGATTATCCATTTATTTGAAAATTCATCCACCAGCAAAAACCGTTCGGGGGTAACGGGGTCGGTTCTGGGACCGAATGTTGAAGAGTAACATGTAACCACCAATATTCTAAGGAAATATAATTCGGTCGTAAAACCTCTACCCAAACGGAAATCCCATAGTAAATGTCGGAGCTGCGCGGATTCTCAGATTTAGCGGCACTGCCTTTTTTTTTTTTTTTTCCAACCCCACTGAGTCGGAGGAATGATTCTCCCTGCCTTTACCTTCCCGCCTTGGTAATAATCATCTCGGTGCCGATCTCGTGAAAACGTTTCCAGAGCTCCGCGCCTTGCAGGTCCACCCGAGGCACTTGCGCGGCAAGTGAAGGCGAGGCAGCCTTGGCGGGGCCTGCAGAAGTCAGAGGGGGCGACGTACCGTTTAAGAAACCCTCTTCACACCCACCTGTAGGAATGAAAACAGAGAGGGGGGAGGAAAGATACGAGAGGGCGGTTAGGGCAAATAAAACGGCCTAAAAAGCGCTAAACCTAATCCGAAGGGAGAGGCGACTACGGTAGCTCCCGTGTGGAAAGGGAGAATAACAACAACAACAATAAAAATCATCCCACATAAATCTTAACCACGAAACCAGCGCCTTGTTTTGTTTTGGTTTTTTTTCAATGGGAAAAGGCGCCTGAAGCGTGACTCGCTTGTTCTTTCCTGACAACGCTCCCGCGCGATTCATGCGCACGTGCCTCCCTTAGAAAAGGGCGCGTGCTTTTCGCCCTCCCCCCAAAAATTGCTTTTTTGCTACGGCCACAACTCCTCGAGCCTAAATTCCACGCGGGTATTTGTAAACGGGCAACAATTGGGGGGAAAAGAAGCGAGGTGAAAGGCCCGGAATTTTTTTTTTTTTTTAAAAAAAATCGTGGGGGGGAAAGGGGGGAACCCCCCCCCCCCCCCCCCCCCCGCGCGAGCGTCCCTGTGCGAAAATAGTGCGAGGGCCACCAGGAGCGGCGAGATACGTTTAAAGAGCCGCGGCGCGTACGTGCGACCTGTCGTCTCGCCCTTCCTTGCAACAAAAAGGCATCGGTGGCTTAAACGTCAATTAGAAGGTCCTTCCTAGAAATAATAAATCGCCTTCAACCAGAAGCAGTCTAGTTGGTTTCCTATTCACTCATTTTTTAACGATTATAGACAGCCGTCCTTTTTCCAAGGCCATTTGAACTGAAGTCGGCCTCAATTTAAGAAAGACAGCTTCCTTCGCCATGCTGAATGCTTTACATGTCTTTTAATTGCGGACTCTTTTTTTTGGAATGGATTGGAAGCTGATTTTGGAGCCTTCACTGCTTAGGCCCAAATCCTATTTAAAAGGCGGCAGAAAGGAAGTATTAACTGAAATCCAGACCTGCTTCTGCACTGATTGTATCTCGTACCAGGCATGCAAGGCCACCCTGGGTGTACTGACTTGGAAGTAAATTGAGACAACAAAGAGCCTTAGTATTATTTCATTTTCGGATATATTGTAAAATAAAGGTTCATGGGCTTTAGGCCTCTTTATTGGATGTGTCCACAAAAATGTCATCACCAAACAAATAAGCAAAAACACCAAGATGAACTTCGTTATTTTGCAGGGACAGATTACATCGACTAGTTGCCCAAGCAAATGAATTTAGCAATCCAATCCAAAGTATATTTGAAAATAAATCTGTAAATTTCAGTTAGCTTAAATACCAAATTCATGTTTGTAAGAAAATCTGTGGTCACCCATATTTTTTTTCCACTTGAAGGAAAATATATAATATTTTATCAGTTTAAAGGGGGGTAAAAATTACAACAATATATATTCAGTGTATTTTGATTTGCATACCCTGAATTGGACCCTAATTAATTAAATCCAATGCAGCTGTTGGGGCATTAAAATATTAACATCTATATTTTTGAAGTAATGTAGTTAACTATCAAGAGAAAAAAAATGAGTCTCATTGTCATAAACATTTCAGTCCAATTAAAAAAGAAGCTGAAAAGCAGTAAAGATTATCTGGTTAAAAGTGCATCCCATCCATGCTTAAGTTAATATAAATCATTTTTTCTTACTAGCGATTTAGAGCAAATGGAATTATTTTTCTTGGAAATTAAAATGTAATGTCTGTCCACAAAATATAAAGATGATCTTGTTTTAAGTCGAACTAATTCAGTTTGAGATCATGTGCAGTTCACTTGAGAAACCCACAAGTGAATGACCTTTCAAGGCATGTTATGGGGTATTGAATGGAGCTTATTCCCTTTTAGTTCAATGGTATTCACCATCAGATAAGTTTAGACGACTGCAGCCTAAAAACTCTACCCCACCAGTAATGATAATATAACTATTTCATTCGCTCTGATATGCAAAATGCTTAACCACATAAGAATTGATAGAGCTATTAAGCTTAGACAGTACAAAATCTTCAAGTTTGGTTGTCTGTATTGTACAAATTTAAGCAAATGGGTTTATTCAATAACCAGGTTTATTTTTAGGGTGAAGGCAATCTTTGTGTGATTTTTAGTCCCCTTTATTTCCAATTGGACATGCTTTTTTTCCTTCTGCAAAGGTCCTGGGGGCTAAGTCCCCTGAACTCTTAGATTGGGGAAAGAAATTTACAAAGCAGTGGTACTGGAACTAAAACATACTAGTACTGTATATTCAGTTGGGATTAATCCCACATAAACCAATTCCTTCCAGAAAAACGACAACAAAAAACAAAATAGAATAAAAATTGCACTTCACTTCTTTTATTAGTGCTTCACTATTGTTATTAGTAAAGATGCAACAGAGCATTAGAACTTTGCCCGGTTTTTGTTTTTGTTTAAATCCTGCATTTTCTGCTACTACGACCAGACTCTGCCGATGCTTCTGAAAACCCAGAAACAGCTCGGTCTGATTTATTCGGGATAAATTGAAGGGAAAGGACAGGCCGCTGAGCCCAGCTATGACAGCCTTCTCTCAGTCCGAGAAGAAACGTCAGCCTGGGGATTGGGACCACTGGAAGTCTTTTGGAAGGAAAACGTCTCCATTTTTTCAGTTATGACCAGGCAAGGGAAAACTGGGGGGCGGGAAGGTCTTTCTTAAGCGGAGGGCGGGCTGTGAAGGCAAGAGGACGCAAGAACTTACCGGGAGGTACCTCCCGGGCGCCACAAGTCTTCGCTGCTTCAGGCGCGGCCGAGCAGGTCTCAGCGTTGGAAGGCGAAGTGGCGCTCTGCCCGGCGCCTTCGCCGGTCTCCGTGCCGCAGTTATTCCCGTGGCCGCCGCCGCCTTCGGACGGCGTCTCTTCCCCGTTGGTTCCGGCCAGCTTTCGTCGCTTCTGCGGCGGCGGATGTTGCTGCGATTGCCGCGGCTGCTCCTGTTGTTTCTCGGCTCCGATCAACGCCTCCACGGAGAACGCGTGAGCCTTGAGGCTCAGCACGGTGCAAGGCGAGGCTCTCCGCTTCTCTGCCATGTCGGACCGGCCAACTGGAAGCCTCCCGTCTTCTCTCTCGGCTGCTTTGCTGTTCCAGGCCGCGCCGCTCGCCTTCGCTTGGCTTCGCCGCTCCTTTTGCATCCACCTTCTAGCAGCCTGAAGTGGGTCGCCGAGCGTTCCCCCCTCCTCTTCTTCCCTTTGCAAGCCCAGACGATCCCGGTGTGCCAAAGCGGGGCTTCCCGTCCTCCCCTCCTCCTTCTCCTCCCGCAAGCTCTGCCTCGTCTGAAGGGCCGAACAGCTCTGACATGGGTAACAAACGCTCTGCGGACACGAATTAGGGCTTGGAATTGAAATTTGTTGCCTTGATCTGTCAGCACTTCCAGGCAGGAGACCGGTGGGAAGAATTTGCTCATTAGTGTCAGTAAAGCGGCTGGGACGGGGCGGAGCCCAGCGAGGAGGAGGGCTGTCAATCAAGACGTCAAGATCAAGATTTTGGCCAATCAGAAATTAGGAATAGCCTCCCCCCCCCGCCTTCCCCCGGTTGCTTCTTCCTTAGAGGGTCGGTCCTAAAGGTGCCTGACTAGAGAGGCCGAAATGTGGGCTTCTTGTGCTTCTTTGACTGGACCCTCCGAGCAAGACTTTCGCTTTCAGGCCGTTACAGCCTTTTCATCTTTCTCCCGACCGAAACGACAGGCAGACGGGAGAACTGAAAACCAAGTCCTCGCTCTTTCTCTTTCCGTCACATTCCCAGTTATCCTTCTCTAAAATGGGAATGATGCAAACAGAAATATCGATAGTTTTAAACAAAGTAAACAGTTCAAATAGGTCATTGATCAATAGCTGAGACCAGTTTTAGTTTGCCTGTCTACCCAAGAAATACAGGTTGCTGTGGATAATTTTATTCCATAGGAGCAAATGAACTATTTTAGTAGACGTATCCCCTAAAAATAATTATTTACTTGTTTCCAAAGCCAATTTATCAATTTATCATATGCCAAATGATAAGAGTATATCGTTGTCTCTATATTAACCTATATGTGTATATATATATATTGAGACAACGTTCATCCTGACTGGCTTGAGCATTAAAGCTTTCCCCTGGAACCCAAAGCCACTAACAGTGGTGACGTTAAGTGTATGCCAAATTAAAGTTTTACAGTAAGATGCCACCCAGTGCTCTGTTGTTCCTCTTCCCATTATTTCTATAGGCATTTCTTTCATTCCAGGTCTCTAATGGGGACAAAGCAATAGGGACGGGATGCCATGGCCTTCCAAGCATGTATTCCTCTTAAGGTCATATTCCAACCCGCCTATATATTTGTGCATGAAACTTGCTGACTTGCTATCTGAGCTCACTTTGCTTCTTCCCTCACCCCTGCAGCGGAGGGTCAGCTTCGGGTACTGTATTGTGAGCAGCTGTCCACTCAAGAACCACTTTTCTGCTGAGGAGAAAACGTAAGGAATCTCCACGTCTGTGTATGAGAAAGAGATATATTAGGGTCCCTTTTTATCGATCCCCAAATATGACAATCCAAACTGGAGAACTTTGATGTGGGAACTAGCCAAAATTTTACAGGCCTGCAGTACCCAAAAAAGCTCTTCCTTTCAGTATCTATAAACAGAAACATCCATGCTTTCCCCCACTACCCCAACCCATCACTGAAAAAAGCCACTGCGTCTTCTAAGAGCCACACTAGGAACAGTAAGGAACGGCTGCTCACTGAGCCTTCCAGAACCTCCACAGCACCCAACCCTGTCCCATGCTGGTAAGGTCGTCTTCCCAAAAGAGCCCTTCCAAGGCATGGAAGCATGAGCTCTGCCTATAAAAAGTGACTTCCTCCAATATCCTAACCAGTCAAGGCTGGGACTTGACTAGGACCAGAATTTACCTAGACAACCTGCTTGCAAAAGCTGTTAAGCCTGGTAAGGCTTGCAACAACCTCATTTGTGACTCAAGAGGCCAGCAGCTTTGCAGCGTCTATCCAGAGCTGCTCCTGTACACGGAAGATCCAATTCAGCTAGCAAAGATTAACATGATGGAGAGGCTTCTCTACACAAATTTATTTTTATAGGGTACACGTAGTGATTGCATGCATTTTTTGCTCACATCACTTCCAAAATGTTCCTGTTTCAGGTCCTCCTTTTCTAAGCCCTGTTTGACTCCAGATGATCCAGATACATGCTGTAGAAGCAACCAGGGGCCCAAGACAATCCAGCTGTTGCTCAGAAGACATACTTTGTGCAACTATTTTCACAGCTGGGAGGGAGCATTGATTGCTGGTGTGTTTAACTGAATGTTCAGTATCTCCCTTCACTACTTGTGTCTTTTGATAGCAAACTTTTCGATGATGATTTCCTAGGTGATGGGGATGCACATCAAGGAGGAAAAAAAAAAAAACCAACCCGAATGTGCCAGATTGTAAATACTTTTGCTGAAATGGAATGATGGAGTTTTTGATATTTGCTTGAAATCAAATTCATTATGTCAGCAATGTTCTCAAAATAAACATGCACATATTATGGAACTGTTGCCAAGTTAATTTGCCTAATAAACTGGTGCATCCCTTGAAAGAAATTCATCAGATCCAAAGCAACAAACAAAGAAACAAAAACCATCCCTTTCTAATATTATACAGGCTTGCCAACTTTGTTCTGAGGGGCTCTGTATTTCGTTCAGAAAATGAAGTTTATTTATCATTAACAAAAGATTTTCACCAGCATAAAGCATGAACTTCAAAGCTTCATCTCAATATCCATTTTATAATTTCACCCCATCCTAATACTTTCCTTTTGTTTTTCAAATAAAATACATTTTTGAGGGAATTGAAATACTGAGGTGTCATTCCAAAAGATCCCTTTGAAATAGATTATTCCTGAATAAGCAATCTGGTTGCTGATTATAAACAACCAACCTGAATATACTCAATTTGGTTTAACTTTGAAATAAATGCCATAATTCAAATTCTATAAATGTGAACATTTTTGGGTCACTTGTTTTAGTTTATTGCAGCAAAAAAAAAAAAAGTTCAAAAGATTTAACAGCAATTAAAATTAGCAGTTTATGGTTCCCTAAGACATTGTAAATATGAATATAATAATAGTCTCTTAAAATTCATTTTATTCTGTAATGTAACTCTTCATTTGTATATTGCAATATAGTTTCAGTGCCGGCCCCCTTTGTAAATCACTGATTGGTTTATTTTACTCTCTTTGAATAAGTAATCCCTTTGCAAGATTAATTTAAAAATCAGTAACCAGTAAAATTTCATAAGTTTTACATGTCTGTTTTGCTTTTTGCTTTGGAATTCTGGCAAAAAAAGGTGCTTTTTCTAATATCTTGCAAAGGAGAACTTTAAAAGTTCAGGGACAGCATTGAACACCAAAACAACGCATTTGCAGCTTCAGTGGCAACAGTGATGGAACTAAGAAGTATACTAAGAAAAAGAATGTTCAACTTTTTAAAGCCCATTGCTTTTGTGTTACTTTTCATTTTACTCGTGGCTCTTAACCCATCTTCCTATTTTGGCAACAAGGACAAAGCAACGTATGACTCCAAAATCAGACCAGCCAGCCCCAATGCTGCTCCCCACACTCTGCCCAAAAAATTTCAAAGCTATTCAGAATCCCACCACACAAAGCTAGGAAATTTTACAGAAAAGGGAAGGAAGCATCTGGAGTCATTCCACAGCTATCTGCTCTTCCTGCCTCGCACTTTCCCTTAGCCTTACAGACAATCTTCTATACAGTCTGGCCACCTTTCTCTGACCCTTCCAGAGATGCCAGGTATTGAATTTAAGAAATGTGATGACCTGTTCTCAGGTGAGCTGTTGGTTCCCTACAACCCCCTAAAAAAGAAAGGGACATTTTCTCTTTGGATGAGGATAATTTCAGTGAGGGTTCCTTGGTGCCCTCTGAGCTTGGTTATTTTCTTGCAGATGTTTCATTGGACAAACTAGGTAATGAAACATCTGCAAGAAAACAACAAAGCAGAAAGTACCAAGGACTCCTCATTTCAACCCGAGCTACAAAGATTATCTTCTCTCTTGGTAATTTCAATGAGTTATCCATACTCTTCTGTCTAATGTAGAGATGGATGACAAGAAAGATTGTTCTGCTAATAAATTCTCAGCTGAATTTAGTTATTCTCGTACAAGCCATCTGCTTACTATAGATTTCATTGAGAAAGTGAGTGCAGTTTTTTTAAAAAATTAAATGGCCAGAAGAATTATCATTCTTGAAATTGCTGCATATGTGCAATCTATTTACCCTCCCTTATTTAAACTGTGACCCCCCACCCCAGTCCGTACTATTTGGGGACCAAAGCCTAGGACAGTGAGAAAGAGAGAGGATTTACTTCCATTAACATTTAAGCTTTCCCAATCTGGCATCCAATATACTGTATTACAGATGTATTACAACTATGACTCTTATCACCTCCAACCACCATGTCACTGAGCACAATGGGCTTTGTAGTCTAAGAAAATAGCTTCAATGTAATGAAGACTGTTGGGAAGGCTGGTTATAATAAGAGGTTAGTAGTGTAACATATCTGAAGCGCCAAGTTGGGAAAGATTATTTTGGAATACCCTGTTCCACTCATGTTCATCATCTTTGCAACTTAACCATTAAATGTCTTTCAGTGTTCCTTTTGGTTTTCTTCTTCAACCTTGTACATTTCCGTGGGGATCTCTATGAAAAAGCAATAGAACATGTTATGCTCAATAAATAAATACATTTCTTAAGTAAATGTGTTTCTTCAGTTTGTGTCTTACTATGGAAATGCCCTAGAGAAAAGGTAGGGCTATTAAAGAAAAACGTTTCCTTTTGTTTCCAGAGGAAAAAAGAAACCTAAAATTGGAAAGCCTTTGCATAAATTGAAAACAAGCCTAATCCAATATAAGGAATCTTCTGGATCCATCAGGTCAGTTCTGAATGCAAAATTGTGGGAGGATTACAAAGATTTTCTTCGTGTCATCAGAATTTTTTTGTTTCCCTGTGTGTGTCTGGATTTCATTGGGTCTTTGCAACTGCACGTCAGT